GAATGATGAGGGCAATGAGTGTACAAATGTGCTTTACACAATTGATGTATGTATGGATTGTGATAAGAGTTGTATGAGCCCCTAATAAAATGATTGGAAAAAAAAAAAAAAGGAATAGTGTCTGATTTCTGAAGCTGGTCTCTACTTGAGGGAGAGGAGAAGGGAGGGTCTTTTGCTGCCCCTTGGTGGAGGGAATGGAGCCTTGATGGTGTAGTAGTCACATGTATGTGTCAGGCTCCTGACTGCAAAGTTAGTGGTTTGGAACCCCCAGCCTCTCTTTGGGAGAAAGACTAGGCTTTCTACTCCTGCAAAGAGTTACAGTCTCGGAAACTCACAGGGGCAGTTCTACCTTATCCTGTCGGGTCGCTGTGAGTCAGAATTGGGTCTTTTGGGTCTGGTAGAGGGAAAGAGAGCAATGTTGCTTGGAACAAAGAGAGCTTTGACCTTTTGACTGATGCTGATCCTACCTGTGTAGACCTGAAGCGTCAATTTGCTGCTGGGTAGTCATACTGACATATATTACCTGCTTACTATGTGGCAGAACCCTGGTAGCATAGTGGTTATGCGTTGGGCTGCTGACCACAAGGTCCACAGTTCAAAAACCACCAGCTGCCCCGTGGGAGAAAGACAAAGCGTTTTTGCTCCCATAAGCGTTACAGCCTTGGAACCTCCCAGGGGGCAGTTCCACCCTGTCCCCTGGGGTTGCTGCACTTCAGCATCGACTCCAGGGCAGTGAGGTTGGAGTTCGTGGCAGGGCCCGCATTTGTTAGTGGGCTCTGTGAGTTTTGTTGCTGCATATCTGGGGTCTGAGAAGACATTGTAACTCTTGGGAGTTCCAAAATCGCCGTTTAGCCTTTTCACCTTAATGAATCCGACATTTGGCCATTCCACTTTCAACTATATTTTTGTTTTTCCCTTTTCTTTTCAGGAGACCGAGAGAGCCAAAAAAATGTCATTCCGTCTAGCCAGCAGCATCTCCCAGGTGTGAGCGCTGGAAGGGGCCCGAGCACTGGCAGTGTGTGCCCCAGCCTACTGACCACTCCTTCCCGCCTTTCAACTCATTCTCTTCAGGTTGTGGGTGTGAGACGACTCTTGTCGAGCTGTGTAGTGCTCTTCTTTGCCGTTTGATCCTACCACATTTCCTTGGGAGCCATAATGCATCCACTACAGAGAAGATTCCAGTAATAAACAGCAAAGAGGGAGATATTCCCTAGTACCAAAATATCCGATGTCTAGGGTCCAGTAGACAAGACCAAGGCTGATCAGGCTCGGGAGGACCAGACTTCTTTGGTGGATTCTTTCTGCTGTGGAAAGCAGACCTTTCTCACCTCTCTCACCTCTCGGTGTCCAGGGCTGAGGAGCAGGACCTATGTCTGAACTCCTGCGCTTATAAGTGATTAAGAGGGAGAGAGGATCTGGCATACAGCAGGCCTGTGATCCCTGGCCCAGCGCAGCCAAAGACTGTCACTGTTTGCCTTTGTCCTACTGGCACAGAGGCACGCACCATGGTCAGGGTAATGGAGGCTTCTGGAGACCCGAGGTCTCAATTGGTGCCTATTCGGGTTCTAACGGTTTTCAGGGTATTTGTCTCTCGCGCCCCCTTTCCCGGTGCTGACATGGGTGACCCGGGAGAGTGCTATGAATGGCGTGGCGTCTTGACGGGGTTGAGGGCAGTGCGAGGACCACTCAGATCTTCACGTAAGGTCTCCTTCAGAGCCTACCCACTGTGCCACTTACGTTAACCAGCAATCCTGACTTCTGTTTGGGTAAACTGAGGGGCAGCTACTCTCTGCTTCAGGCCGAGAGTTCTCTAGGCAAGTTGAGTGACCCATCAACAACTCACTCTGCTGTGCCTCTTGCGGAGAGATCCTGCTTCTCGATCCCTCCACTTTCACAGAGCCAAAGAGCAGAAGTGGGCTCTCTGAGTAACCTGCCTCCAGCCTGTCCACAGCCCAGGAAAAGCCAAGACTGCTGGTAGCGCTGTTTTGTTGGGGGTTGGAGAAGACTAGAGGGGCCAGCAGGAGCTAGCTTTAAGATTCATGGGGAGAGTCTATCTAGGAGGGAGAGGGGCGAAATTGAGAGGCAATGGAGCCAGTGTCTTTTGATGACTCTGGAGCAACTTCAGGACTTGAGTTCTTCTGGGAACACAGAGGAGAGTGCCAGGCAGCCATGGGAGCAGGACCTGCATGTTCCATGCAGTGTCTCCGTGAGGGAGGGGACACCGTCAGCTGCTGAAGGTCAGGCCGCTTTCCAAGCTGGGGCTCGATGGAGTAGGTAGGACCCAGTGCTGATGTTTCTTGTGGAACCGTGACCTTGGCATTGCTGTGACCGGGCCCCAAGACACAGTGCCCCTTGTTCCTGCCATCACATGGCTAATTTCAAGGGAGTCTCAGGTCATGGCTTTATTTTTGCTAAGAGATGCAGTTTATGGAAATTCTTATCTGTAGGTGCTTTGCTAATGGGCAAAAAAAAAGTTATTTTCTTCTAAGTTATTTATTTTATTGTTGTTGAGAATATACACAGCGTATCATACAACAAATTCAATGGTTTTTCCATGTACAGTGTATGGAGCATGGATTCTACTATTTGAGTTGTACCACCATTCTCTCCCTCCTTTCCAGGGTTTTTCTTCCCACATCAGCATCAAGTTGCTGCCCCTAAGGTTCCTATCTCGTGTTTTCAGTTGCTGCTGTCACTTTGATCCCATGCAGAGTGCTGAAAAGAGCATAATGCTCAAGGGAGAGCCCTCTCCCCCCTTTTTAAAGCAAAACTGTTGTTTGGTTTTCAGAAAATGTTGGGATATTTTTGGTGTAAGGTTTAAAGACTATCTCAGGGCAATAGTTTCAGGGGCTCAACCAGCCTCGATGTCTCCAGAAAGTCTGGAGCCCATGAGAACTTTTACGTCTGTTCTCCACTTCTTTTTTGAGCAGGATCCATCTACTACGGTATCTTTGATCACAGTGCTCAGTGATGGTAGATGGGCACCATCAAAGCGGCAATTCACCACACATTCCATGTTCTCCTCCCGTTCCTGACTCTCTTCTGTTGCGCCGGGTAACTAGAGACCAATTTTAGTGCCTAGGATGGCCACTTGCAAGTGCTTAAGACCCCAGGTACACTACACAACGAACGAGGAGGTAGAACAGAAGCAATGGACTGGGATGCCCAGGAAACCATGGCCCTAACTCTCCTAACCAAGGACCCAAACCCACGAGGTGCTTGTTGATATGTAAGCAGCCGCAGCAGCTACTCTTGTTTTTAAGTCTCTGTTACATCATACTTTTGCCAATTCAACTTTTTATAGGTGTACAACTTATTGACAGTAATTACAATAATTGGCTGTGCAACTCTACCCTTAATCAATGCAATTTTCCATCATCAGCAACCTCCCTTCCTTTTCCCTCCCTGGTAACCAATAATAAACTTTGGCCTCTATACATATGTCTTTCCTTGTCTGTTACTATGAATGCGGTCATACAATATTTGTCCTTTTGTGATTGACTTGTTTTGGTCAGCACAAGGTCGTCCAGCTCCATCAATACTGTAGCTGGTACCCAGGCTTCATTTTCCCTACTTTCTGAGTAATAGTGTACGTGTGCACCACATTTTGTTGATCTCCTCCTCCACTGATAGGCATGACTTTGTTTCTATTACGGGCTATTGTAGATAGTGCTACATTGAATATTGGTATGCAAGTTGCACTTCGAGTCTCTGCTTTTAAGTCTAGGAGTCTTGCCCACATTTTAAAAAGTCCTTTTAGTGAAAGAGGTGGTATTTTCCGGTGGTTTTGATGCACATGTTTCCTAACAGCTCATGGTGGCCCAGTGCTAACAAACTGATCATGGATGAAGCGTACCAGCTGCTCAGCTGGAGAAAGATGCCAGCCTGCGTCCACACAGAGTGATAGTCTTGTCAACTCTATGGGGAAGTTCTGTGAGTCAGAATCCACTTGCTGGTGGTGGGTTTTGATTTGGGATGACAAAAAACAGCATTTTTCCCCATGTGTTTGGTGTTTGAATGTCCTCGTTGTTTAAATGTCTGGCCAAGTCCTTTGCCCAATTTATGACTGGATTACTTGTCTTTCTGTTATTTAAGTTTTATATATATTTTTGTTATTAGATTCTTGTTTTTCCAAAGATATTCTTTGGTTGGTAGCTTGTCTTTGAGCTCCTTTGGTAGTCTTTGGATGCATTTTTATGTGTTCTCATTTAATTTGCCCTTTGCTGTTTGTGCTTTTGTGAGTATATTGAATAATCTGGTGTTGAAAGCCAAGCCTGACAGTGTTGCCCCTGTTTATTCATTCCTCTAAGAAATGTTTGGCTTTAGTTTGCACATTTAGGTCCTGAATTCATTTTGAATTTGTTTCAGTGTATGAGGTGAGACATGGGGCCTATTTTATTTTTCAGCATGTGGAAATCCAATTTTTAAAAAAGTCATTTTATTGGGGGCTCTGACAGGGAAATCCAATTTTCCCAGCACCATTTATCGACAAGATTCCTGTTTTCCTATTGAATAGATTCAATATCCTTGTCAAAAATTATCTAACCATGGATGTGTGTGGGTTTATTTCTGGACTCTCAATTCTATTCCACAAATCAATGTGTCTGTTATTATACCAGTGCCAGATTGTTTTTATTAATGTGAAGAAAGCTCTTGGAATTTTGAGGAGGAGTCTGTTGAACTTATAGATCACTTTGAGTAGTATTGACATTGGAGCAATATTAAGTCCCCCAATCCATGAACATGGAACACCTTTCCATTTATTTATATCATCTTTAATGTCTTTCAGTTTTCATTGTAAAAGTACGAATAGGCAAATTTTGATTGGAAAAGGAATTTCTTCTCTCCTTTGGAATTGCCAGTACTGTTCACCTCCCCTCCCCCTTGAGTTCCACTGGCCTGGCAGGTCCCCTCGGAGTCACTGCCTGGATTGAATCCTTCCCCCCCCCCCCCCCCAGGCTGAGAGAGCATCTTCAGCTCATGGACTCGCCATTCATTGGACATGGGCATCTACACATTTTTATTCTAGTTTGGGGTAGCTGAGTCTTTAATGCTCCAGTAGGCAGGCACACTTTGGACTTAACTCTCTGTTGTCTTGGGCTCACATGTCTTTCTAGTTTAGATTCTGTTTTCTTCTTTGTGTAACCCTCATTTCTTCTTTCTTTGTGTAACCCACATTTCCATCAGCCCCAAGTAAGCTTCATGCTGCTTTGTGATAAGCAGCCAGGTAAGAGCTGTGACAAAACCAAACCTAATTAAGATCATTTCTCAGGACATAGGGAGACTCCAGATGTGGAACAGAAAAACTTGACCATACCAACCTGAATATACCTGATCTCATTCGGTCTTCAGAGCTTAGCAGGGAGGGGCCTAGTCAGTACTCCAGTGGAAAACTGGCTGGGAATACAGTGTACCGCTGACTCTTAGAGGGTCGCTGGGGAGTCTGACTAGCCTAGGGGATCTTAGTAACACAGCGGGAAGTAGCATATCTCCTTTCCCTCCACAATATGCTGGGAGGCAGGCTTTAGGCACCTGAGTTAGGGAGGGGTGTCCCCAGTCTTTACAAGGGCCCTGGATACTACCCTATCCCTTCCCAGGCTACCTTATGATACTGCCTTCTACTTGGCCCACTAGTTAGTGCTGATGTTTTGCGTCATGGTTTTGCTTTGTTTTGGTTTTGTATATAGAAAACAGCTAGGCTAGGATTATCTTTGTTGGCTCTTTGCTGCATTTGAGTGATCCTACTTTTGACCCACTTGCCCATCTTGAAGTCAATCAAGACTTTTGACCCTGACAAGTCATGAAATAGAAATGCCCCATGTAAAGGTGATTTTAGTGTAAAAATTGGTGCAAGATGAACTTGCAACACTATTGCACAAAATCTGTGTAAGTTGGCCCTGTCTGTCTGTTACCAGTTGCCAACCCTGTGTGCTGCTGACTTCTTCTCCCTGAACAGAGGCCACCACATCCCCTCAGTCCCAAAGGCTCTGCTCCATTGCAGGCCCTACGATCCATCCCATATGGACTCTGGCTCTCCATTTATAGTGCAAGGTCTTTGTCTTGCTGCTAAGACCCGAATCCCCCTGTGCATGTTGTAGATTCTGCTCTTACTCCTCCCTTAGTCCCTGGTCTTACCTCCAGTTTTCTCTTCCGAAATCCTGAACTGAATGTGCTCCAGATGGGCCAGCGTCTCGTGTGCAGCTCTGCCCACTCCCTCACTGCTTTCAAAATTGTCCTAATCTTTTACTCATTTAACACGACTTTAGCCCCATTCCTGTTCTCTTGGGCTTTCAGCCTTCTCCCCGTCTTACTACTTTCTGCCCAGCCAGAATCTATGGTCCCTTCCACATTGACATAACAGCATCTAGAACATTCCTCATTCTTCCTAACTTTTGCTGAAGCTGTCAGTTGTTCTCCATTTTCAGCACCAGCCCATTGTCTCCTACCCGTTCCTAGGTTGCTGAGCATCACAAATTCCTAGTCGACCACCATGTTGAGCACTAAGTATCGATTGGAAGCTCTTTTAGTTATTGTTGTTGAGCTTTTCCATCCAATCTCTTCAGCCTTCCTTTCAGCAAATGACTGGCCCCGTCCTACTTCACAGCAAGGTCCCTTGTCCATTTGCTCCACCTCCCATGTATTTGTACCTCTCCTTTCCTCTTGCTCTCATCTTCGTCCCTGTTGCATGGAGCCTTTGCTATATTCCTCAAGACCCCTGCTCCATCACGCATCCCTCTGCTTCTCCCTCTCCTTGGTTACCTGGGTCACATAGCCTATGGGCAAGCACAGGTCTCCCCTGAGTACAATTTAAAAATTCTTGCAGTCTTAGGCCATTTATATTTCCTCCTCATCTGCCAAGTTTCTTTTTTAAAGAAATAATCATTTTATTGGGGGTTCTTACAGCTTTTATAACAATCCATACATCAATTGTATCAAGCATATTTTTTGCATATGCTGGCATCATCATTTTTTAAACATTGACTTTCTGTTTGAGCCCTTGGCATCAGCTTGTCTTTCCCCCCTGCTTCCCCCATCCTCCCACTCTCGTGAACCTTCGATAAATGATAAATTATTTTCATATCTTACACCAACTGTATTTTCATATCTTACACCAGCTGTCTCCCTTCACCTACGTTTGGTGGGGGGAGAAGTTATGCATTGATCATTGCGATTGGTTTCCCCTTCCTCCCCCTTCCCCCTTCTCTCCTCCCCTTCTGGTATCACTA